CAAATTTAATTGAGGAAAAATATTGACAGCCCGAATAGAGTTATTTAATTAACACTGGAACTTTATGAGATTTCCGATATAAGCAGATATCAGATCCTAAATCTAATCTAGAACTTTCTAAATAAGTTCAGATGAACTTGATATCGAGTCGTTATTAATTGTAACTTTGATGACCATTAGTACCGGTAATCGAGAGGTAATTTAAGGTAATAGATTTAGGTCGTTTGCCTCTTAATGTAATAAACCTGCACGTTTACGATACGAAGATTCGATCGGATCGAAGGAACTCTTCACCGATGAGCAACGCATAGCTGCGCCAGTACATTCCTCTGGCAGCCGGTGACCTTTAATATCTCCGGCGCGTCGAAAATATAGAGATTCTTCGACGAGCGCTCCTCTATTGCTTCCACAGAAACTTTGAGGACTGTCTTCCGGTTCATGGATGGAAAAATTCTGCTCGCATGTGGCGATCGTGATCTATGTCTGTCTTATATACTGGGTGATGTGAATAAATTCGAGAATTATTAAGTAGAAACTGCTTGGTCTTTCACAACAGCGGTTTCTGATGATCGCAATATATTTCGAGTAATCGCGATATATTTTATTTTCTTTTTTTTTGCATTTAATGCGTAAATAAAAAAAATTTTAATATTTAGCTCTTGTACTTCAGTATCATTGTATTTAATAAAAAATAAATAATTTCAATAAAATTATGTTGGGAGTATAACCCGTAGTATAACCCTATATTTACATTTTAAAGGGCAAAAGCTAGAAGGAATTTACGGATAAAGTTCACGGAAAGTGTCTGCTTTTCTGCCACTTGAAAGCTATTCAAGCAACCAACCATGCGAATAATATGGATAACGGGCGAAGAATTTATTTCACAAAAACGCAGCGCGTTCAATACGTCGATGTGAGACAAATTATCGCGCATTAAACAGAAAATTTTTATCTCGTATATGTGCGTGAAGAAAATTTATATATAAAGCAACATTCAAATATTTGAAAATATATTTTAATCGTATCAATATGTATCAATATATATTTTGTGTATTATAAAAAAATTCAATATTGTCTTTATATATTTTGACTATTTTCATTAATTGTTTCGATAATTAATTTGTACAATTTATTGGTTTTAGAATTTTTGAGTATCTCGTAGCAAAATTAGAATTAATATGATTTTAATGCATTAATGCTTTAATGTATTACATAATATATTACATTAATAATGCATTATTAATGTCTTAAAATATAAAATATTATTTTTTAATAAATTTTTTCAATTTGTATGATATTAAATTTGTATGATATTAAATTTGTATAAGTATCTTTTGTGAAAATCTTAATTATAAATATTAATGCAAATACTCTTGTACTGTATATATTCAAGACAATAAATTGTATAATTTACAAAGTAGTAAAACCAATTTAATTAAGAAATTGTTTTACTATTTAAGTCTATCCGCAAAGATGCTTAATTAATAATATTAAGATAGCAAGTAAGATTATACTTATTGACTTTATAATATTAAATATAATTTTTTTAAACATAATTTAATATTTCTTACATTTAACTCTAATAGATAAAATTTTAATAAAAATAATTATTAGGTTGTTTAATAATTACTTTTTAGTGATTACTATTTTTACAGCCTTAAGTACAAACGTAAAGTCTCGGTTGGATATTTGACATCGCTTAGTTTTGTATGAAACCGAACGTAACTGTTAATTAACTGTTTGCGGCCAATTAACAATTACGAGATAATGAAGTACCTAAATGTCTACCGAAGGTTCGCAGAATAGAGCGAACTCATCCTTCTTGCAAGGGCATAGTTAACTCGGTATTCAGCTCGGTGGCTTTGGTAGTCTCATTGAGCCGAAACTTCTTTCACCGACTCGGCCGGCTATTTAAGTCTTAGGCTCCTTTGATTACTCGCGCGTACGTCGTTATCTTTTGAGAAGCCGGACTGCGCCGTCTGCTCTTATCTCCCGACAGTGACGCATAACACGCGGACTCCAGCTCCAGCTTCTCTGAGATCGCGAGTTTCTCTAAGGTAATCAAAAATAAAAACTCTTAAAAGAAAAGAGAGGATTTCATTTTGAAACCTGACCATTGAAATATCATTATAATGACTTCAGAGTTAAAGGCTATAATAAAACATTAAAGACCCAAAGGAAGAATTACAAAAGTAATCTCTACGTGTTATTATTTATTAACGATAAGAATACCTGATAACGGCAGAGATTAATCAGATTAATTAAGCCGAACGAGAAGAAAAAGTTTTCGTGTCTGTAACGTATAAAAAATTAAGTCCATTGAAATTATACTTTTTCCTTTGCATTCGCGAGCACTTCGTTTATACTTCGTTCCTCCCGCGGAACAACAAACTGAACGTGATGTTGGCACGCAAGTTGAAGAAACAATCAGCCGCAGAGACTGGCGTTTACCTGGACAAACAGAGACAAGTCGTCTCCTAGCAGCATGTCCCTGCAGACGTCCTTAGCTGTGGTGTCCAGAGTAAGATATACGAGGCTGCTCTCAATCCCCGTGTGTATCCTCACCCACCCACTCCCGTTGCCGACGTCCACCCCGACTCCCGAGTCCCAGGAGGAATTGAAGGTATCCAGGATGTTAGCGGAATCCTTCGAGTCTTTCGCGCTCGAGGGACTCCCGCTCTGTATAGAATCCGTGCTGAAGCTGTCCTTCTCCTCGTTACTGTTCCCCGACGTCCTTTCACTATCGAACCTGTCGATCGTCTCGTCCAGGTTCTCCAAAATCTTGCTCTCCAAAATCTTCTCGTCCATCACGGTATCTTCGCTCCCCGGTCGTGATTCCGCTTCCTTTCGCGAATCGGATCGATCGGTCTCCGAAGCGTTATCCTTCGAGTTTTTCTTTAAGCTACCGTTCCTCGGCTCATTATTATATAGATCGTAGCTATCGGGATATAATCTGGAATCCTCCAGACAATCGTGAATCTCGATCGATTCGATCTCCTTTGGTGGATCCCCGTTTGCGTAGAAGATCGAACTCTCTTTTGACAATCGTTCTTTCTTATCTTTCAATTTCACATATTTCGATGGCTGCGTCTTCTCGTCTATTTGATAGAAAAAATTTTCCTTAGCCGCCATACTGAAATTCGTGTTCTCACAAACGATCCTGCGATCAGATTTATTCATGGCACTTGGGACGTCCTTCTTTTCCGTTCGACCTTTAATACTTTCGTAATAACTTTTAGATGTGACTAATTTATTGGTACCCGCTTGTTTACAAGTGTCTCGTTTGGAGGAATCCTTTCTGCAAGTATCTCGGTTAGAGATATCCTGCTTGAGAACGCTTTGATTCTTTCGTTCGCTCGTTCTGCAAGTCGTCTTGCTTTTCTTTTTGATCTCCGTGTAAACGTGTTCCTCGGGATCAATTTTGTCTTTGACACGATTTTTAATAGTCTGTTCCTTCGCGTCTTTGGCACGCTTTGATCTCTGTTGGAATCTCTCGTAATTAGCCAAAATCTTTTGATTAAGTTCATGAATCAATTCTAGCCGTTTCGAGATGGAGTCGCCGGACTTGTCCTTAGTCCACCTTCTTGTCTCGTCGACGTTATCTTTCCTGTGCGTGTCTCGTTGTTTCTGCTTTCTTGCCGTGGAGCCATGGCTGGGAATGCCGATTTCGTACTTCGAGTCGCTCTTGAGAATATTCTCGTTCGGCTCGTCGATCTCGACTGAATGGAAGCTTTCACGATACCTTCGATTCGCATTCGCAGGGAATCCGGACACGTTCATCAGCTCTAACGTTGGCTTAGTCGATGACAATGATGATGATTTAGCCTCGCAATTCCGTTCGGAGTATTTGCCGATTTTCGATTTACTTTCAATTTCTCTCCTGCGATTCTCGCTAAATTCGATGCCTTTTTTACCATCAGGACGAATCGCCAATCCAACGCTGGAGCCGCTACTTAAGCTGATCCTCTCGTTCATCTCCCAGTTCATCAGTAATCTGCCTCTAGTGTTGTTGTCGTCGACGCTCTTGTTCGCTGCGGAACGAAGATCGAGCTTTTGATGGTGGTCTTGGCAAGGAAGAGAATCCTTTGGGATATTTGCGGTGGTTCGTTGCTTTAATCCTCTAGTGGATGATAATCGGCGGGATCTTCGTAGCTTTACGGATGACGTAGGAGCGATTGTTTGATTGTTGGATGCACTGGCGATCAGCATTTTAATTGTAGATCTTTTACGATTAATCTACAAATCATGATTGTTTAAAATTGTATATTGAACAGATCAATAACTTAATTTTATTGGTCGCAAAAATTTTATGCTAAAGATATAATTTTCGCTAGATTGACTGTTATAAATGAAATCTTTATATAAATTCATCTCGATTTATAAATCCTTGGTTTTAATTTTTATCTAATTTATGTCTTTTCATTTTATATAATATATTCAAATCATATATTCATTATTTTAAATATAATTTGTTATTTTTTATAAAAGAAGTTTATTTTTTATAAAAGAAGATAAGATTGCAACTAGATAATCAGCTTCATGGATTTTATTTTCAAAAATTTTGCGTTTTATCAAATAATATACAAAATGCAACTAGAACAAGTAATTTTAATAGAATATCATATTTTTTTCGATATTTGATTTTTATAGAATATTTTTAGTAAGTCTTTATACTATTATTTTTTTAATTAGCAAAGTAATAAAAGAATGTAAACAAATTCTATCCTGCAGAATGAGAACAAAAGAGAGAAATATTTTTCTGTATTTCAATACAGAAAATACGAAACGTAAAATAATTGATACAATCGAATGATAGCGATGTCGTGGAATTTGCGAGAGCGCGGTAACGATTATGCATCGTGGAATAGTGAAATTTCCACATGACGGAAGTAGGATCGCGACAGATTGTTCGTAAATGGCTGCGGTGATATCATGGCGAATGTATCGTCGTTTTTATGTGTTTGTGCATGGGGGAAGTTGTATAAAATGTCATGCCTGGATGCTCGTTTCAGCAGCACTGACGTCCATAATACATACGTAGTAATGCAATCGGTTAAAGTATCTGTGTATATATATATATAAAGATATATGTAAAGAGATATTAGATAAATATTAAAAAAATCTCTTAAATGACATTTAGATGATATTATATATAGATACGTTGCTTTGATAAAAAAATATTATTAAAAGTATAATAATAAAAAATTATTTCTAATAAGATCTGTAATACTTATTATATTTTTGTTTGTATTAATATTAATACAAATTATATAATACAAATTCTAAAGATATATTTTAAATAAAACTAGAAAAGTATTATCGATATAACAATTCGTATTGTTATTTATTTAATTTTTATTTTCTACCTTTCTATTTTCTATCTTTTAAATAATAGTATAAAGAATTACAAAAATATTCTATAGAAATCAAATATATAAAAAATATGATATTCTATTAAAATTACTTGTTCCAGTTGTATTTTGTATATTGTTTAATAAAACATTAAATTTTTTATCTACAGTTTAGATTAGTAGCTTAATTTTTCTAGATAAAATCCGAAATGTTACAAGTATATTTCAGTACAAGTTTATTATTTCTACTCTTCAAATTCAGTCTTCATTTCTTGCGCAAAACATATGTCGTATGACTAAGTATGATGAGATATTCATATCCCGAAAGAGAGAGAAGTCTTAAGATAAATCTGTCTCGTTGAAACGTGACATTCAGACAATCTCGCGACGTCACGTCACTTTGTCGCTGATTGTCGCGCGCACGTCGTGAGTGATCAGAGAATTTGATCCCAGCGGAGAATTACCTTTCAGACACCATCGAGGCGAGATACATAACCGTGAAACGTGTGAAAGTAATCCGCGGGGAACGAAGGAGGGCAACGAAGAAGATGTGAATACGTGTTGCACTTGCGGCTTCGAATCACGTAGCCGCGCTTTCTATTTATCTATCGTTCCGCAGCCGAAAAGAAATTCATCTTAAGTTTATCGCCGAG